GTAAAACTGAGTTCCGTGTTGACACCATCACCACCAAGGCCTTGGAGGAGGAAGAAGGCAGGCCGAGGGCTGAGCCTGCCGAGGAGACCGAAGACTTGATACTCGATCCGGCCAAGCCGGAGAGAGTCCTGAAGATTGGAGCCAAGCTCCCCGAAGACCTGAAGGCTGGCATCACCAAAGCTCTCCGCGCCTACTCCATTGTTTTTGCATGGGGGCCGGAGGACATGCCAGGAATTGACCGAAGGGTTATCACCCACCGCCTTGCGGTGGACCCTTCGGCCAAACCAGTGCAACAGCGAAGAAGGCCCCTCTCGGCCGAGAGAAGGGAGTTCGTAAAGAAGGAGGTGTCTATGCTCCTCTCCATCAAACACATCAAGGAGGTGAAATACCCTTCTTGGTTGGCAAACGTAGTCCTCGCACAAAAGCCTCCTACTTTCCGCATGTGCGTGGATTACACGGATCTGAATAAGGCATGCCCTATGGACCCCTTCCCTCTGCCAAACATTGATCAACTAGTGGATGAGACCGCGGGATGCGAGATCATGTCATTCCTCGACGCATTCCGCGGATATCACCAAATCTACATGCATGAGGAAGACGCTGAAAAAACTGCCTTCATGACACCCGAAGGCATCTTCTGCTATCTTGTGATGGCCTTCGGCCTCAAAAATTCAGGCGCCACCTACACACGCATGGTGGCTAGGGTCTTTCAAGCTGTCCTGGGACGCACCATGGAGGCTTACGTTGACGATATGATCGTCAAAAGTAAGAAGGCAGGCACCCACGCCGACGATCTCCGGGAGATTTTTGCCATCATGCAAAAATTTAACCTCCGGCTAAATCCGAAGAAGTGCACCTTCGGCGTACAAGGAGGGAAGTTTTTGGGCTACATGGTCAGCAGAAGGGGTATTGAGGCCAACCCCGAGAAAATTCAGGCCATCATCAACATGGAGCCCCCACGCAACGTCAAAGAAGTCCAACGGCTGACGGGTCGCCTGGCGGCCCTCAACCGATTCCTCTCTAAGTCAGCCGAGAGGGCCCTCCCCTTCTTCCAGATCATGAGGAAAACGGCGGGCTTTCAGTGGACGTCTGAGTGTCAAGAGGCCTTCGACGAACTCAAGAAGTACCTCTCCTCTCCCCCAGTGCTCTCCAAACCAAAGGTGGGGGAAACTTTATACTTATATCTCGGTGTTAGCCCTGCGGCTATCAGCTCAGTACTAATCCGAGAGGAAGACGGCATCCAACATGCCATCTTCTACGTCAGCAAAACCCTCCGGGAGGCCGAACTTAGGTATTCTCCCGTCGAGAAGACGGTGCTAGCCATCGTTTGGACCGTCAAGAAGCTTGGCCACTACTTTCAAGCTCATCCAGTCCAGGTGCTCACTCACCAACCCCTCGGCGCCCTCATGAGGAGTCCCACTAGCTCCTCTCGGATGGTGAAATGGGCCATCTTCCTCAGCCAATACAACATAGACATCCGTCCGCGGCCTGCCATTAAGGGCCAAGCCCTGGCAGACTTCGTGACGGAGTGCACCGCAAGGTCAGCAACTGACGAGGAGCCCTCGGCACCCCTCGATGAATGGTGGACACTCTATACCGATGGCTCCTCGGCCGCCAAAGCATGCGGAGGGGGAGTAGTCCTGATCACACCCGAAGGCTTCCGCGCCTATTATGCCGTCCGCTTCTCCTTCAAAGTCTCCAATAACGAGGCCGAGTACGAAGCCCTCCTCTGTGGCCTTCGGCTGGCGGCGAATCTGAAGGCTAAGATGATCCACGTCAAGTGTGACTCCAAACTTGTTGTGGGTCAAATTTCCGGGGAGTACGAAGCTAAGGAAGGAAGGATGAAACAATACAAGGAAGCGGCTAAGGAGTTGCTCGAGGTGTTTGAGGCACATTCTCTCACCCAAATACCGAGGGCTCAAAACTCCGAGGCCGACATACTATCCAAGCTCTCGGATGAATCCCCCGAGCACCTCTCCAAAATTGCAAGAATTGAGGAACTTAGCCTCTCGAGCATCCACGCGAGCCCCGTCATGAGCATTAACCTAAGGCCGGAGGATTGGATCTCCGACATCATCGCCTTCATCACCACAGGGCAACTGCCCCAAGACGAAGCCCGCGCTAAGTTAGCAAAACTGAGGGCTCCCAGCTACACCCTCGAAAACGGGAGGCTTTACAAGAGATCTTACAACGGCACCCTCCTTCGGTGCCTTCATCAAGATGAGGCCGAAGTCGCCATGGAGGAAGTGCACAGTGGGACTTGCTCAGCTCACCAGGGACCCTTCTCCATGTCCCGAAGGCTCATAGTTCAGGGCTACTTCTGGCCCACGATGGCTAGGGATTGTGCCGATTTAGCCCGAAGGTGCACCGCTTGCCAACACTTTCAGAAGGCCCCCGGCAGACCAGCAGTCAACTATGCCCCCATCAGCACCGCTATACCCTTCTCCAGATGGGGAGTCGATTTAGTGGGACCTCTGCCGAGGGGTACCTCCAACAACAGGTACATCATTGTGGCCATTGACTACTTCACCAAGTGGGTAGAGGCCGAACCCCTCGCCAGCATCACGGAGGCCCGGTGCCGTCACTTCGTCCTCAAGAACATTCTCACAAGGTTTGGCGTCCCCCAACAAATCATCTCCGACAACGGGACTCAATTCGAGGCAGCCCCCTTCTGCGCCCTCCTGGAAGCTTGGGGCATCAAGCACACATTCTCTTCCGTTGCCTACCCTCAGGGCAACGGGCAAGTAGAGAACGCCAACCGAACCCTACTTGAAGGGTTGAAGAAAAAGCTGGAAGCCGAAGGGGGAGGCTGGGTAGAAGAGCTTCATAACATCCTATGGGCCTACCGCACCACCCCTCGGCGTGCAACAGGTGAGACCCCTTTCTCCCTATGCTATGGCTTTGAGGCAAAGGCTCCAACAGAAGTGACCCTTCCCACCCGAAGGGTGGAACAATATGAGCCCGAGGTCAACGAAGCCAACATGGCCCTCGACCTTCATCTCATCTCGGAACGCCGAGAGCAAGCTTTCCTCAAGGCCGAAAACTATAGGAGACAAGTCAAAGGATACATCGACGCCAAGGTCCGCTCCCGGGAATTCCAGGTGGGAGACTACGTCCTTCGACGAAGGGAGGCCAGTCTACCCACCGAAGGAGGAAAGATGGCGCCCAAGTTTGAAGGCCCCTACATCATCTCAGCCATCATCAAGCCGGGGACATACAAGTTAAAACGTCCTAATGGGACGGAGATTCCTAGACATTGGAATGTGCACCACCTAGTGAAGTTTTATCAATGAGCGGCCAAACCCTCATCCTCAACAAGTGTAAATATCAATGGCCCAAGGCCCCATCTGTTTTTGAAGAATAATCAAAAGGCCAAGCCTTCATCACCTACATATTATACAAGCGGCCCAAGGCCCCCCTTCTATCTTACACATGAGAGGCCAAGCCCTCATCTCTCCAGCTGGATAGGCCCAAGGCCTCTCCCTCTGATAAGGGAGAACAACCATTTAGGTACCAAGTACCAAGGGAATGGGTCACCCCCATCACTCTTTGAAAACACCAAGTGTTTTTCTCAAACTTTTACATACTCTCTTAAAAAAAAAAAAAAAAAAAAAAAAAAAAAAAAAAACCGGGGGGTGCAATACCCCTCGGCTCCGGCTGGCACCAAGTGCCCCCGGCTATTTGTGTCCCACACACAAATAAAACCCTTCCCAGGAACGCTTTCCGCGCCATCCCCCAAGGGGAGGCAGGCAACGGACCATGTCCCGGGCCCAGGATTCGACTTCCACAAACGAAACGCTCCCCGCGCTATCCCCCAAGGGGAAGCAGGCAACAGACGATGTCTCGGGCTGAGGGGACGACTTTCAAAACCGAGGCGCTTTCCGTGCTATCTCCCAAGGGGAAGCAGGCAACAGACGATGTCTCGGGCCGAGGAAACGACCCTCAAACCCTTCGGGATATCGGAAGGTCATTCCCGAAGGGGGAGCCAACGGTTTGTTCCGTTGCCTCCCGTATAGACCAAGCCTTTCCTAGAAACCAAGTTTCTAGATGCCTCTCCTACACCATCTAAAAAAAAAAAAAAAAAAAAAAAAAAAAAAAAAAAAGATGTGTAGGGGGGAAGGAACTCCCCGGATACTATTCTCCCCGGAGGCTCAAACACTTCGGATATACATTCCTGAAGGCTCCTACAAATTCACAAGAAAATCTCGCAGGCAACAAGTCATCTGGCCACAAGGCCGAAGGCTTCACTGCGTAAAACCTTGGAATACAAGAATTCCACCGAAGGAATATGAAGAGGGCTTACTATCAAAGCTTCACCTAAATTTGGCTAAGTCCTAAATCTGGCTCGAATCGAAGACACCATGATACATACCGAAGGCTACACAAAGTTCTAAGGCAAGCTAAATCTATTATCTACACGAACCGGAGGGTTCATGCCAAGGGATGGAGGATCACCAAGCTCATTCAAACGATCTCAACAAATCTCAGAATTTCACTGAGTCCATAATCTTGGACCCCTCGGCAATCATATACACCGGGGGCTCGGCAGTTCCCACGCTCGAAGGTTCACTACGGTATCTGTTGACTCATGGCCGATGGCCCCCCCCAACTACTTGGCAATAGCCAGAAGCTACACTACTAAGTGAAGGCTTCCCCTGATGGAATTCCCAAGTCCAATTCATCCTATCCCTCGGCACTACTACTACGAACATCCGAAGGGGGTTGGTCCTACGCTACGACCGGAGGCTCGCAACAAAAGTTCTTACTTAGAAAATATTCTAAGTCCACAATCACTAACCCCCGATGATTCTACCCTACATCCGAAGGGTTCTGATCAAGTTTACTTGGAAAATTTGATTATTCCACAACAACAGGCCCCCGGAGACTCAACACTACAACCGGAGGCTTACTGCCAGGTTACTTGGAAAAATTTCTAAGTCCACAAACTTACGGCATTCAACCAAACATTGCAGATAAAGGAAGCAATCATAAAGAGGAAATTGCAAAGACGGAGGCATTCAATCAACAAGAGCCCGAAGGCGATCATTCATTCATCCAAGAAAAATATTTAAAATACAATCATGTTTCATCACAAAGTATGGCCGAGGCCGGGGACTACAGACTATTACAACATTACACTTGGTAAAACTTCAAGCTGCAACATCTTTTGTTGTATCTCCCTTCGGTTTGGAGGAGGCGTCATCCTCAGCTTCTCCTTCATCATCCGAGGCCAGCCTATCCAGCTCCGAGTCCTCCAGAAGCTGCCTCTCTTCGCCTTCTGGAAGGGGAATCCTGACGTCTTGGAGCAGGGGGGGAAGGCCGTAAGGCGTGGGATCAAAGTCCTTGGGGTCCACCCCAAAATGCCGAGCCAGCTTCCGGTAGAGCATGGCTTGCGTGAAATACTGGCCCCCCTCATAGAAACTCTTCCCCTTCAGAGCAAGCCACATGGCCCCGGGGCCTTTGACCCAATCATCCACCGAAGTCTCCACGACCGAAGCCAGCCACGGTTTTTGCTCTTCAGACCTCCACCCCTCGGCAACATAAGAGGCAACGGCATCCTCGGCAGCTTTAGCAACGGCTTCGGCCTTGGCCCTTTCGGCTTCCTCGGCGGCTGCTATGGCGGCCTCAGCGGCAGCCCTCTCTGCCTCAGCCTTCCCCTGGGCGATGCCCTCGGCCCTCGCCTCACTCTTGGCCCCCTCCAGCTTCTGCTCGGCCTGCCGAAGGGCCTCCTCCAACATAGCGAGCTGCCTGATGGCCTCAGTGTTATTGGCAATGAGCTTCCTCGTCACCTCGTCAGACTTCGCCTTCTCGAGGCGGTGCTGTTCCGCCCTGCGGACAAGTTCCCCGAAGGCCAAGCTAGCCTGCAAGCAAACAGGGGTACACCTGGGATCAGATTATGCAAAGGAAAAGGAACACAATAACAGAAGATTCCAAAGGTCGAAATACTTACAGTGGCCGAGGCCTGGAGGGCCTTGAGCTCGAGGGCTTCGTCCCCGAACCGGCTAAGGGTGGACCTATCCACCGAAGGGGTGGCACCCCTCAAGAATTCCCTCGGGTCGAGGGTGCCATGCATGATGGCTGTCCCCTTCTTGATGGGGAAGTGTACTGTTTCAAGGGGCCAGGCACCCTCGACAAGATCCTCCGGGGGAGCAGTGGCAGACGATTGGCCGGCTGGGGGGTCATCAATGATCACCACGGGGGTATCCTTCGGCTCAACGTCCCCCTTCAATTTTTTTCCTTCCGGAGGCCTGACGCCCTTCCCGGCGTTTTTTCGCTTGAGCCCCCCCTCCTTGGAGCCTCCGGCATCAGAACCGGCGCCAGCGATTACAACCCCCTTCGGGGGCCCGTGACCCTCAGGGGTCTCCTGCTTCTTGGAGAAGACATCTCCCTGCGGCTGTGCCGGGGGCCTCTCCTCCTTCTTCTTCTTGTCCTTGGCCAGTTGCCGGGACAGCTTGGAGAATGCCTTCGGGTCCATAAAATCGCCTGCAAAAGAACATCAAGGAAAAAGTTAGTCAAAAGCAAATCAGGGATTTACATCTCTAAGTACTAACAGTAATGGCCCTCGGCAACAACCTCTAACACCCGGAGAGCCCCGGTCAAGGAGAGGATATCTCTCGTCTTTCTCCCCTGGCAGGCGATACCGCCGGAATTCCAGCTTGAACAGCTCTTCCGGGAGCGTGGCGGCCTTGATGGTTGTCAGCTTCTCTGAACCCGGAGGCTTCGCCTTCAGTTTCTTCCCATCACTCTCAAGGGCGGCGTTGCCTACCTTGGGGTGCCTCCGGAAATGATTGCGGAGAGGCCTCGGGAAATCAGCTCCCAGCATCCTCAGGTAGCAGAACCGATCCTTCCATCCCTTGTGGGACGAGGGCACCTCTGAAAACAGCCTCCATGCCGGCAGTTGTTGAAGGTTGGCGAAGCCTTCACTGTTTGCGGCCCCCCCCTCGGCAAAGGTTGAAGGACAGGAAAAACTGGTCAAGAGAAGGTTCCACCCCCCGGGAATCACACAGAGAAAGGAACCCCGCCAAGTATGAATGGCTGTTGGGGGTTAACTGACAGGGAGCGAGGCCTACGAACCGGAGGTACTGCACGACGAAGGGGTGCAAGGGGAAGCGGAGGCCCAACTCCACCGAGAGGATATGCACAGCAAAGCAGCCTTCGGGGGGAGATAACAGCACGTCGTCAGGACCTGGCACCACCACCTGTGCCGACGGGCCCACTAAGAGCTGAGTCTTCAGATACTCCGCCTCCACAGCCTTCGTCTTCAAATCTAGCGCGGCTGTGTTGAGGTAGGAATGTCCTTCGGGAATTCCCACCGGCTGTCCTGCATCTACCGCAGCCTGTTTCTTCTTCTGGACAGCCTTCTGCTTCTTTCCCTTCTTCCCCGAGGCCACCCGGAGGGGCACTGCGTCAATTGGCCGGGAGCTACTCGTTTCACCGGCGCCTCGCGAAGGCAAAAAGGCAACCGTGACACGTTGCCTCTCCTTCTCCTCCTCTTCTTCCGCTACCTGCAGCGCGAGGGCCATTTCTTCATCCTCTACCACCTGCTCAAACTCCTCCGCCTCCAGCTCTGTACGAAGGTTGTTTTGGACTTCCTCGGCAACCGCTGAATCATTGTTCGCCGAGGACTGCGCACTCGAGGACTCCACGTCCGAGTAGCTTTCCTGTTGTGCCGACGGCTCCCCCGAGATATCTTGGGAATCGCTTTGAGAGGACATGACTTTGAGGGAAGAGAAGTGTGACTGAGGGAGACTACCTAAGTGTTCCTACCGAAGGCTATCCTAACACCTCTAAACACAAGATCAAAGGAGAAAGAAGCAAAATATGCTAAGGTAGTAAGGAACGGAGCAAGAACTGACCTTGTGGCTTAGGGTTTGATCGGAGGAAATACTTTATCTCTCTAGAAATTTTGGCAGAGCTTCGCTTCAATTCTAAAAACGCGCAAACCAAATGAGTTCGGAGTTGGGGTATATATAGGCTTTCAGCCTCGAGAACTGGGCCTCGACTTGAAAAGGCCATCATTACGGGCCGCCGGTTCAACCAATGGATGGCACCCGCCCACCTTCTACCAACGGGAGCATGCCACGTGTGCCCCTCTCCCAACGGCTTTATTACAACGACTATATTTCGGCGACACTGGGATGCCCCCGGATGATAGCCTCCGGTTACTCACTCACCGCAGCCTCCAGGCAATGAATTCCACCAAACGCCTTCGAGCCCGTAGCGGCATAAGCCTTTGGCTTATCAGTGTTATAAACCCTCGGGAACCCAACAACACACTAAAACTCCTTCAAACCGAACAAACCTTCGGCCTAAAGGAGTGGGGGACTGGGATACACCCCTCGGGAATCATACAAAAACAAAAATTCCCTCATGCAAAGATTTACAACTGACGCATGTAGCCTCCGGGCATCAGAGCAGAAACCCCCCGGGTACATGCTCCAATATACCCTTCGGCAGAGGCAGGATATCACAAGTTTTCCCCAAGTCACTTGCGGAGATGAAGCAGCCCTCATCACAACACATGCGGGAAATACATCTATGCTTCCCTCAGAAAACCCTCGACATGTGAGGGACTGAGGGGAGCCCCCGGCAAACATACGAAGGTCATAAATACCTTCCTTCAGAAAACCCTCGACCTGTGAGGGACTGAGGGAAGCCTTCGGCAAATTAGCAGAAAACAAGTTCCCCAACAAAGGCACCCAGCGAGATGATAGAGCCTCCGGAAGAATCAACACATCTACTCCTTTTCCCTCAAGCACCTTTCGGCAAAAGGAGTGAGGGACTCCTGATGGAGTATATGGCCCAGGAACCCCCGGCCCATAGACTCCTACTTCTCCTACACAAGTCCATTGAGCCCAGAGAACATCTCAGGCCCAAATACAACGGCTCAAGCCTCAAAGTGTCCCAGAATACACACTGGGGTGCCTTCGGCCTCCTTGGCCGAAGGCTCCAAAACTCACAGGATAGCCTTCTCTGGCATAGGGAGCTGCTGGGAGGAAACGGGCGAAGACATGAGCCTTCGGCATTCTCATGCCCTCGGCATCAGGGGAAGCCTTCGGCTGAATCAAGCCTTCGGCTACACAAGAAGCCTTCGGCTACATAAGGAGCCCTCGGCTACACAAGAGGCCTTCGGCTACAATGGGAGCCTTCGGCTTAACAGGCTCAATCATCGAAGATTCCTTTTAGAGACAGCCAACCACCACATTTAATGCCACGTCACATCCGCCAACCGCATTCAATGCGGTTGACGTACCACTGCCGGTGCCACCAGGCTGATGTGACCCTTCGGCCGTTGGATTACTGACACGTGTCCTCTCATCGCATTTATTGCTGCTATAAATAGCAGCCTATTTCTCCTTGTAAATGAGGACCTACATCTCAACTCCACGCTGAGTTCATTTAATAAAATCGACTCTCTCTCCTCCTATTTACTCTGACTTCTCTCTAGTTATTCCCGCAATAACCCTTCGGATAAGATACCCCCCGGGTAGACTATCCATCAGTGAGGATGATGGTTGGGGTTGGGTGATGTCATTATGCAGCGCCGGGGTGTTCCTGAATTCCTGTGCCCGAGCGGTTATTGCTTCGTGCACCCATGGTTTGATGGTGGAATCCATGAAACGCTGCAAAATGACTGATAGGTCGGTAGGGTCAGGGTGTCCGGTTACAGGGGTAGTAACCGTTGTCACAGCATCAGTAAAGATTACCGATGTGTGGCCTGCAGATAATGATGGAGATATCTGTTGAGCAGCAGGACTTCCGATCATCATTGACGTATCTCCGATCGTTGAGGACAAGTAGAGTGCACCTGTCGTGTGCGGTGGTGTGAGAAGTGTATGTGTCCTAGAAAAAGTTGAAAATGTTGGGATGGTGGAAACTAGACTCAATGTGCCAGAAGGAGGGGTAGTGGTCTGGGGCGGAAGACCACAAAGTAAATCCTCAGCTGCTTCGTAGGGAGACAGCGAGGTGGGTACAATATCCCCTATATGTGAAACTACTACCTGTTGGGAGGCAGCAGAGTGGCTAGGTGAGGCTTGTGCATGCGCAGTTGGGCTAGATGCTGCGTCTTCTACTCGGAAACTGAAAATATCAGTTTCTGCACCTATGGGGTTAGCCCGGTTTATTGTGTCAAGGTCAGAGCAGCTGTCATACAAAGCTAACTCTTCTGCCAGGTTGCTTGCAGTTTGCACTCTTTGCACAGGAGTAGATGATGAGGCAAGGTCATGACGCACCTTGGAGCGAGTCTCACTGATGATATTTCCTTGAGTGTCCTTGATTTGGTGAGACTGCTCTTGTGTTGTAGCCCGAGAAAGCCTGATAACGAGTCGTCCTTTCTTAGCGCGGGCTTTCTCGACTTTCTTGCTCTTTGCATTGACGTTGTTGTCATCCTCATCATCATCATCGTCGTCGTCCTCAGCCTTGCTCCCAGAGCCCTCATCGTCAGCGTCTTGTGTTGTGGCTACGCTTGGCGAATCACGGGTAGACTCTTCAGCACGGGTGTGGCCCTCAGCAGACATAGTCTGATCATCATGGGGCCGGCTTGCCACTGGTCTCTGTGGCCGGGTTGAACTCTCAGGACCCTCACTTTCTCTCGGCTGACTCCCCGGGGTAGGCTCAGGGGGGTTTATCTGAGCCATAGGGAGTATGATACCATTCTCCTCGCTGTAGCGTATAACATGTGGATCATTGCGACCAGCTAGCAGGAGGAGAGGGACAGGAATAGATAATGGTACCAGTGAGCGTACCTCTGGCATTCTCTTCAGATATTGTAGGGCTGGAGTGCTGACATTCTCAGATGATTTGCGTCTTTGAATCGTTGGAATTGTTCTGCAGAAGTGTCGTACCAGCAGTGAAAACCATCTCATGTATGGCAGATGTTTGATCAGATTGGTGTCGAATTTCCTTCTCCTCATCTCCAAGAACTCACTCCAAATTAGAGCAGCGTAGTTATATTTCTTCATGAAGGCGATCCCATGGAAGATATACACAAGGTAAGCACTGCACTTGTCGAATCCAGTGTGCTTGGAAGTGCAGCACTTATTCAGAATAGCCATCAGTGTCCTCCATGGGCGCGGCAAGCGAGCCGTCTTGATTTCTGACATCACGTGGAGAGGCTGTGCGTGGCCAAGAGTGATCATGTCAGCGATTACTTGTGCCTCTGGGACCAACGCGTCATAATGTTCCTCCTCCGGGATTTGTAGCACTTGTTGGACTAGCTCTTTAGTAATGGTAGCTCTGGTGTGGCAGATTGTGGCAGCTAGGACGTCATCGAGTGGCCTGCCATTTGCATCCTCATCCTTG